CCAGAGTATACACTTGCTGGAAGAGATACGGCGAGGTAGTAAATCATGACGTTGAGCGAAAGCATCGATTGATCTAGCCGCACGCAGGGCTGAGAGCGCGACTTTAAGCCCGGTACACGCTTGTTGTAAGTACTGTGTCGAGCTCGGAAGTTTTGCCCCTGAGGGATTTGCCCCATAAGGCTACATTCTCTAACATAATCGTAAATATAGGGCACACGTATATATGTTCATTATTGGTCGAACTCGATAACATCGACGAATTGGAGCGAAAGATTTGGGTGGGGCGGGCGAAATGCCCTTTTTTGCCCGTGTGCTGCCCCTAGGGCAAACTCTTGAGCACTGAATAGAACTTGTTGTGGATCATATTGGAAGGAAGTTTATTGTGTTCACTTTGGATTATAATTTCGTTGGGCACGGTTACGACGTCTTTACTGATAAAATTGTATAGTGTTTCTTATCTTTTTGGGGTTGTATTAATATTAGGTTTTTGAGGGTTGAAGGAGAGAGAAAATCAGGAATGCATTCGTCTGGGAAGAGTCAAGAGAGCGTAAGGATATCGAGAGGGATAAGGATTTGATGGGAAAATACCTCGAGTGCATTAGAATGAGGGTTTGTTGGTGAAAACTCAGGAATTCGGTGCGAATGTGGAAACGGACCGGATTAAGGGTTCGATGGTAATCAGATAGAAATGCGTGGGAATAAAGGGAATCAAGTTTCGATAGTACGAAATTTTAATACGCAAAGGACACCGATACGCGACGAGTATTTGCAACAAGTGTATACCAGGCTTTACAGAAGCCTCCTAAATCTCACGTCACAAGTGACGAGCGAAAGACGTGAATCCTCGTACAGCTAAACGATGGCTGTGATTGGGTCAGTCATCTTTCTCTCTGTGTTTTTCACTTTTTTAAATATACCGTAATGGGAGAATCGGTAACGAATTGACTTCGTATCGGAGTTTTTCCCCATCCAAACTGATGTTTTGGCAATCGTATTTCACGTTCTTTCACGCCTGTCTGATTTTACGATCTAGCTATAGCTCTTCTTCCACCAAGTACTATACACACCGACATTTCGACTGCATTAATCGACGAAGATGGGTCAAGCACTGGCCGAACTTGCAATCGCTCTAATTGCGTCGATCGACGGCCAACGACCGACAGGATGACGAGCAGCGTTCTGACGTTTCGTTCTTTCACACTGGAAAACGCGTTGGATTATGTGCGCGATGGAGAGCCACCGGGCGCTTTCGATCAGCGAACTATCAGCCGGAAGCGTGATTCGATTTGGAGATTATTTCGACTGGATCTTTCACAGGCGTGGGTTCTTGGAACGACTTTTTCTCTCCGCTGCAGCAAGTCTCTACGGAAAGATTCTATCGACGTGATTGAATATAGGTGAAAAGATGATTGTGCTAAATCTATCAGCTAATTTGGTTATCCTTGGTTGAACGGCGTTCGTGGAATTCCTGTCGCGTCGGTGTCAGTCACTTAGGAAACTTGTCAATTTCACAGAAGAAGATCCTATCTTCCGACTTTTGCACCGATCCTTTGGACTATTTTCGAGGGACCGTTCTAAAGAAAGATTCTATCGGCGTGATTTAATATAGTCGAAAAGATGATCGAATTAAATCTCTCTGCTAATTTCGTTACACCAGTTGTCGGTGTTTTCAACGAGTTGCTGTCGTGTCAGTGTCAATCGCATAGAAAATTTGTCAATTTGAGAGAAACGTCAGAAAATTCTAAAGATAGATTCTATCAACTTCAGTTACTCATAAGCTGTTCGATCAGTTACTTATTCCACTGTGTTCAACGAAAATCGCTCTTTGTACACCGAAAAAGGGAACGAAATTGAATCGGCTGTTAGCTTTCGAGGGATTCTTGACGTACCATAGGAATCCAGGCAATTTGTCAATTTCGACAATGAGTACAGGCTAGGAACGCGTGCCTCTGTGTTCAGTCCGACCGGATAATCAGCAGTAGGCGCTTCATACTTGTAACAGGATGCACGGTAGCATGATTAGCGCGTGCAATTTGCCGACATGCCGACACGGAGCGATTATCGCGCAAATACCTCTGTAAATCTGTGTATGTGTGTGTAAATGTCGCAGCAAAAGGTTAGCAACTTGGTGACTGTAAACGGTCATTCGGCTGTGACTGATTCAATCGAAGTGTAGCTAAGTCGGAACGAATCGGGTCTGGCCTATATTTCAACCAATCAATCATTTAATCGCGTTGCCCTACCTTGCTCGATCCTCAAAGAATGAAAGTTTAAACGCGGTACCTTACTACCGTAGAATTCGCGTAATCAGGACGCTCGAATTCAGCCGGAATTCAATTCGGGGACGGATTTTACTTCGCGTCAAGGCTGAATTAACCGTGTCAGCAATTTATATTTCGCTCTTCGAGCCATCGTTCGGCCACCATTAGCGATCGCGAAAACGGCGGCCCGCTGAAAGAGCGATTTATAGTGGGCTCGATTAAAAGCGTCAGATAGCGTCACTCACAAGTCGAACCTTTCGCTTCTCTTTTTTTCCCCTTTTTTTCCTTTTTTTTCGCCACTGCCGAGGGCATTAGCGGATCTGTTTAATCGATCAGGGAACGGCAAAAGGTGTCACCCAGCGCTGACAGGATCTCTTATCAGGTATGCATCGTTTCTGCGAGGAGAGAGCTCTCTCTCCCCCTCTGGAGAGCCAGTGGATTCTTTGAATGAAGCGATAACTTGGGCTCGAGGAAGCTGGATAACGAAGGTGAAAGATGGATCGAGTATCGTTAACACCCCGTATTTACGTACCTTAGGATAGGTTCTATATAGCTGATAGGAAGTGAGAGAAGAAAAATGAAGAAGTTTGTTCGACGTGAAGATAAGTCTGCTTATTTAGTATCTATCACGAGAAGAAACATCGACGGAAGTTGCTGGATCGAGAATTGAATCCTCCAGAGATGAGGAAGATACACAGCATCGGAGGACGGTCATCTTTAATATTTTTTTTTTTCACCACCCCTCGAAGCAACATGATGGATCACGAGGAGCGAAAGGAGGCAAAAAATTGGGCCGAATTAAGTCACACGGACGACCCTAAACGGACGTTTTGTCAAATATAAAAGTCACGGCTCTGTCCCAAAGGGCTGACAGACTTCCAAGAACGAAAGTCACACGTTTCTGAATTTCAGATGGTAAATATTCAAGCTATCTTTATATATTTCTCAATGGTACATTTCAACCTGTTTTTATATCTCACGTGGTGTATCTGTGATGGAAAAAGTATCGCGTTAATTGGCATTGCATGCAACTAAACTTCGTCATTTCTCCATAAAACCGACGACTATTTCATTTTACGAGCAGTGCTAATTCCTCTTTTCACAGTGTTGTCGTACGTAGACAAATAGCCCAGTAAAACGTGAAAATGTTGAAAAACCTGGCGAAATGTTTCTTTACGACACGCACCGTCGCAATGCAGACAGATTAACGGTAACAGGGTACGGTACGTTGGGCCAAACGACGTTTAAGCTTTTTCTTCTCGCGCCTGGTTACGCCCGTATTCACGTGGTTATTGCGTTTCTTTTCCTTTTTTCTTTTCGGGGTTATTACGCGTTTCTGCTGTCGCGAACGCGCGTACCCTTTCCCCTCGTAGACGCCAGAAAGACACGCTGAACGCAGGATCATTTGTGATTTACGACGGCCACTTTCAGGGGTTAAGATTGTTCCAGACGTCGGGCCAATAAATTGCGCCCCTCGCGTATTTCGCGCTATTCACCGTGTCTATAAATTGGCTCGTGTTTCGACGATTTTTACCTCGACCATCCCCCGGCATCTATCTCCGTCGTTAATACGATTTTTCCGCCCTCGAGCTGGTGTCTCCTCTATTTTTTTTTCTCTCTCTCTCTCTTTTTCTCTCTCCCGTTTGTTGTTCCCGTTGTTTTATTTCCTGCCACGCCACGCCCTGATGCTCCGCTATCCCCCTCGAAGTATTTTTAATGGCGTTTCCACCTACGGGACGGGACAACGGAAACTGGTTCTTGAGTGCTTCCAATGTACAGCAAACAACTAACCGGGAAGACAAAAAGCGGAAGAGAACGCTCGATCGACGTGGTATTTTTGTTCGATCTTATCGACGCTGAGAGAGATATAGAGGTTTAACGAGATATATCAAACAGGAGAGAAATGGGATATTTCAGTGAAAATGTTCCGCTCGAATAATTAGAACGTTGTCGAATTTCACATTTTTCCCAACAGAGAATATCCTCTTTTTCATAATACGAGTGCGACGATTTAACGATCCAGGAGGAAAAGGTACGAAATTTTATTCAATATTTCACCGGAAAAAAAGTTCCTATGCGGTGTCCAATTTTCCATTCCCTTAGTTACCAAGTTGCCGCGTGAAAAAGATTTAAAAAAGAGAGAGAGAGAGAAAAAAGGTGGAAAAGATTGAAAGATTGATGGGGTGAATTTCAAACTCTCCCCAGGACCCTTTGACAAAATCCATTTATTCCTCGGCCGATCTGTTCCGTGATAAAAGTTTCTCCACGAGACCTCTACCATCGTCTCGCACTCTCTTTCCTAAACATTTATTTCTGAACGCGATTAGAAAAGGGGTGGCGAGGCGACGCGAAAGGGCGGGAACGCGAGGAGTTTGTTCGGTTTATTATTCCGGGAGAACAGGGAAATGAAGTTAGCGGATAGTTGGAGCGCGATAAAATTTATTTCTCGAAAGAAGCGCCGATACCGTGGCCGAGGGGTGGAGCCAAAGGAGGCGGGGAGTGTTAGCGATGTCGCAGAATTGGAAAGCGCGACACGCTCCAACCTCAAACTCCGCGGTTCACATACACAGGGAAAAATAGTTTTGTAACAAGTAAAAATTTCAGAATCTTCGCCGAGTCGGCGGTGGTGGGGTGGAGGCTCTTGACGCTTTATCGACGATAAATCAAACTTCCTGTCAGAGTTCACGCGAACTCGTTGAGGGAAGCGTAAAACGGATAACACGTATAATATATTACACGATGTCCTCGTTGATCGTGGTGCATGATTCGCGGATGATACTGTTGGAGGTGGCGGTGAAAAATGTGAGTAATTATCTGTCGTTGATACGCTGTAAATCACCGCGACTTTGATGGAGCTACTTATTCCTTCCCCTTTTTTTTTACGCCTTTTTTTAATACGCCAGTTCCTAGGAACCGTGTCCGAAATACGATTTCCACGAGACGGTCGTGCGAGATGTAAAATGTTTAAACAGTCATATTCGACGTCGTATAATCCTGGTTAAATTTTTAAATTTAACACACGCACATATACAGAGGATGGTGGTCACGTAGTACCGTAGTTCACAAGTAGGTACTAGTCACGTAAGAGGGACAAGATACGTCATATTGTATTAAAAAATATTATACCGCTGTACGGTGCCCTTCCTCTTGAATCTTTATGCCAAGAGCGTGGAATAAAAGAGGGAGGCCACTTTACTGTATCGCAACCACTTGTCAAAAAGTGGAGGAATTTTATCGCGGAGAAATATTCCGACAACAACACGGCGAAATTTACGGTAAACCATAACCGATTTATGCAATCTGTATTTTTCCGGAGCGGACGAGGTAGTGTGGCTAACTACAAAAGGTTGTGAAAGCCGAAATACTTGGAATTTTCCTGCAATAATTTAACAGTACATTCTCGAAGGTTCATGCTTTCGAAAAATGTAACAAAAATCGATACTTTTTGTTAAGTTTAGACCAGAATATCCTCTAAACACTGGAACGACCGACCGGGTCAAAAATGACCCATTGGCAACTTTCCAAGAAAAGTGATTTTTCAATCACTTTTACTCACGTGAAAAATTCACTTTTGGAAAGATATAAGTTGACCTAAGTGGTCATAGTGTTACAACTCACAGACAATTAGCACGACATAGTTAAGTTTCTCTTTGCTTAATTCCCTAATAAAATTCCGGTCGGGTCAAAAATGACCCATTAATTTTTCAATCACTTTCGCTCACTTTTGCAAAGAATCGCTGTTAAGCCAATTAGACTTAAGTGGTCACAGTGTTAAACTTCGTAGACACGTTTAGTAGCACGTAGTTAATTTTCTCTTCGCTTAATTCCCCCTGATAAAATCCCCGGAAATAAACGATACAGCTGTACATGCCATGGACGGACGTGTTCGACGCCGCGTTAATGAAAAGGACGGTGATACTATTCCGAATGTTGGACGACGAATGGACGACGTTGATGCCGAATCGACGGGACTACCGCTCTTATCGTGGCTCTAATTACGAGAACGAGCAGTTCTACGGTGGAAGATCCGTGCTGTTCGCCCTGCCGGAAGCTGTGCTCGAGGAGAGAATGTCCGGGGTGGACTTGCAGTTGTACGTCTACAAGGGGCTGTCCAAGTACTTCGAGCTCGAGCCACGGCAGAACTTTGGATTCACCCTACTCAACGTGGACGATCTGCTTAACGGTATTATCAAGGACCTAGGCGAACGAAGAGATCTCGAGGGTTATTTTTCCAACGCTCTCCAACGGGAACCTATATCAAGGTGAATGCATTTAAATACGCGAACCTGGCGTTTATGCAAATCCGACGTTGAAACGGATTACCGAACGGCAAATGTTACCCCCCGACACAGCCTCGCTCGGTCTAATGTAATTTAAAAAACCGCTGTACCAAAGTACCAGGTCGTGCTGCTTTTCTAACCTTCCCTCTTGTTCGTTTGTATCGGAAACCGGCCGGCGCTGGCTTGACCCGGTATCGGTCAGAATCTCGTCTCTTTTTCTCCTCTTTCTCTCCCTCCTTTTCTCTCACACACCGTGAAAAAGGCTTTGCTCTTGTTTTTCTGTTGCCTCTGTTAATCTTGTTACTCTGCTCGGATTAACGTTGGACAATTTATTCCGCGAGGTAAATTTTACGGAATGAGATAGAGGAAAAATTTCACGAAACAACGTTAAATCGTATCACTCTGATTCTCTTCTTACGCTCGTTGAACCTTTTTCAAACTTCCCGCGATTTTTTCTATTTTTGCTCGTTTTTATTTTAGGTTATTCCATTCGTTTTTCTTTTTCCGGTCGAGGGTTGCCGCGAATCGTTTTCTAACGCGTGTGAAAGGTCGTTCGTTGAATAGGTTTTACCAAAAGCGGTGTGTAGATAAAAAAATATTCGCGTACCGGTGGATGAAAAAATCCCCTTAAGTACAATACACGAATTAACGGCGCGCGAATCAAGAGATAATGTTTCATCCTCTCTGAAGAATGTACAAGCGCTTGTTGATGCGGCTCAGGCGCACGACAGGTGCTCGTAAATCCGCTTTTCCGCGCTCGGGTGAGTTCTGAAAAAAAAAAGAAAGAGAGGAAAAAGAGAAAACGGAAAGAAAATCACGTTTAATCGTACAGGTCGACGCGTGGCACGTTCGTTCTGCTCGACGAGGATCTACAAGAGACCGACGCCAGTATCGAGCTCTACGTACGCATCAGTTATTTGGGCAAGAGTATCATAACCGAGATGCACACCCCTTACGAAATAGAGAAAGCGTTCTACGCTCGCGAGGAAGAAGACGAGAACTTCCAGTATCAGTTCCGCGCGTTAACAACCGTCGATCTGGAATCCTTCTGTTGGGGAAGCCAAACGATCTTACCGCCTCTTCATCCGGATCGGTTGATCTGCGATTGCAAATCGCTGGAGAAGCCTGCGGAAGAAGCGACTCAGACGAGGAAGAAGAGACGGAAACGCGACAAGGACGATTACAACGCGAGATTGGCGGAGTTAGCGAGACTGTTGGCACTGATGAAGAAGATGAGGAAGAACCGGCCAGATATCATGGCTATGGGAGAACGAAAGAAAGTTTGCCCACCGGCACCGTGTCCCAACATCTGCCCTTCGCCTTGTCCACCTGTCTGCGTTTACACTCTGCCTTCCGTTTGTCCCACTCCCTGTCAGCCAGCGACAGTTTGCTGTCTACCCACGGCCCGGTGAAAACGCTGCGCGAGCCCCGGAGAATTTGCATAGAAAAGGGAAATCGCGAAGCTCCGCCGGAAGATCCGGAGGCGTTACGCCGCGGGGGCCAAGTTTTACCATTGTTCCGGCCGGATCTTACCCAAGGTAATCACGGGGACCATGTCCCATCGTGTTTTATGATCCATTCATCCCTTGCGCGATTGGACGATTTCCCAAATTGCTCTGCGAAATTTTATGCACGCGGAGTAGATAGGGGGAGGAGAGAGAGAAAGAGAGAGTGGGAGTAGTAGGAAGGGTGGTTTTGTCGAGTGCACAGTAGAACCGTGGCTGCGTTTCAACTATCGAATTACTTATTCCGTTCACAGGCAGTCGAGGAAGAAAACAAAAGGAGGAAGAAAAGATTTGGTAGAATCTTTGGAGACTTGAACGTCTCGGTTTTGTGTATGCCATAGGAAACGTGCGGATGGAGAACGCGTAGGATAATCTGGCGCAGGGATTGCAAATTGCAAGACGTCTTTCGATGGAATTTCATGCAGAGGAACGTGCACTTTTTCAAGGGTGTAACTCGATATCCACTTCGCGCCCCGGATATTCCCGATATTCCATGCAATTGAAAGCCGAAGAGTTTTGCATTTTGATTATAGCCCCTCTCTCTACACCCGACCCCATGCTGGATATCGTACGTGTACGCACGTGCACACCGGCGGGCTGGATTTCGATTTGCTGGTTGAAGGAGGGTATTTTATCATCGCTGGCATTATGCAAAGATTCGGATCTGAAGTGGGCGAAAATCTCCGATCGGGAGGCACCCGGTAAAAAGGGTTGGTGAAAATGGAGTGAGCGCTTCCTTTCGTCGGCTCGTAATTTTTCTTTTTCTCTTTGTCAAGGAAACCGCATCTTTCGCGTAACGAAAAAATTCCCCGGGTGAATCGAATAGTAAATCCTTCCACGTATCTTTCTTATTTTTCCGATCGTTGGAAATATCGCGGAAAATTTGTCGCGGATGATCTTCGTCGAATGTTATTAAATTGAACAACGTGATCGAAGTCTGAGAAATAAAACGAGTGAATGTTCAAACGTTACACGTGTGAATATTTTGCCCGGCTATGAAATTGATTCATATCAAGATTGTTATAATTGCGGGGAAAGTCTAGGAGGCTAATGACGATGCACTTTTTTTTAGAAATTTAAGAAC